GCCACCTCTTCGGTCATAGGGACGCGATCGGCTTCGGTGATGCGCTTTCCTCCTCCAGGGACCTCCTTGTTAGGATCATGGACGTTGCCAGCGTCATCTCCATGAGACCAATTCCACGGGGTCTCACCGTGATGAGGACTCCTGGAGGGGCGGTCCATCGGACAACTGCGCATGTGACCTTTGAAGGGCTCGCACTGACATACTTGTTTCCTGTATGTCTTGCGATCGTTGATGATCTCCTGTTTCTTAGCCCTTTTGTCCCAAGCCTCTGGCGTTTTGGTCTTGCCACCCTTGGTACGTATTATCACGCCAGTTTCGTCCCTTTTGGTGCAGTACTCCTTAGAATACCAGTGGCGGATCACGTCCATCGAATAGCCGGGGTACCAGTTGATGTACCAATCCGGCACATGCTGAGCGGATACTCCAACGGAGTGCTCAGTACTGTATGGATAGCCCGATGCATCATGTGTAGGGCGTCTGGGAGCTGAACGGCTCCTCCTGCGGGCTGGCCCCGCTGACGCACTACCACGTTCCATTGGCCTTTGATCGTCATGCTCTGAGTCTCGGGGAGGCGACGGTCGTCTGTCCCTCTTGGCGTAGCGCATGTCCTCCGAGTCCTCTGAGCTATCCTGGACCATGAACACGTGTTGATACGGGCTTCGGAAGTACCCGATGTCGTTTAACTGCTCCATCGTGAGGTCGTTAAGGTCTATTTGATCACAACCTTGCATAAATACATCCATAGACCAAGCGGGTGGCCCCGCTGTTGCGGCTGGCGTCACTTCGGCGGGTGACCCCGCTAGAGCCTGGAGTGCTGTCAGCATCTGAGGTGCCGACATGTCCGAATCCAGGTATGGACGCAGCCGTGCAGCCCCTGGGCGCGACAGCAGGTCGTTCATGGTTATCTGCTGATGTGCTGGCGCACTCAGGAGTCGGATTGCTTCAGCGACCTGCTCTTGGAGCATGTCCTTATAGTCATCTTCCGCCTCTTCGGAGTCAGAGTACGCGGGATGGCCCCGCATTTCGTCATCAGCGTCTCCCGCCTCCGAACCAGCTCGCGAAAGGTCTGGCAGCAACGGCATGCCAATCACCTGCGGTGCCAGCGCGGCGGTGAGCTCTTCCTCGGTCGCCGGGACGGTCTCAGCTTCGGAGACCTCGTCGCCGGCGGGTGGCCCCGCTGGAAGACCGAACCAAGCATTGAACGCGACCTCGTCGACCTCGTCCCAGCCGTGGAACTCGTCGAAGAGGGTCACTGCGTAGTCTTCCAGGGCTACGGTTGCTTCAGCGTAGCGGGCCATCACGTAATACGTGGAGGAGCCCGCAGCGGGAGCCGCTTCTGGATTGACGTAAAACTCGTAGTCAATGTAGTCTATGTCATCCATAAAAGAATTTTGAGCCAAATGTACGGATCCCTTTCCTTTCCCCTTCGGGCATTGATCGCGCAAATGATCTGTGCTACCGCATGTATGACACTTCATAGTATTGCCAGAAGCGTCCCTAGGGTTGCCCCTCCGCCCTTTTCCCTTACCGGAGGTCCGCCTGTGACCCCGACCTTTGCCTCCGATAAGAACTTCTTCAAAGGCTATATCAGTTAAGGACGTGAGGAAAGCAGTGATACCCCTACCATGCATACGGCGTCTGCGACCCCCTTTGCCACGACCCTTTCCATATCGTTTGAAATGTCGGCGTACTGCACGTCTCACTTTTCTGACTGGTTTCTTCATAAAGCGCCTCCAACGGCGTTTTGATTTGCGATAGGCCATAAAAGCGGCTTCCGCTCTTTGTTGTTCAGAAAGGTGAGTGTCATCCGCTGGATAGTCATTACCAGCAGAGACTATGCCATTGTGCTCATCGTCAGATGAGGTGTCTGTGTCAGTGCCAGATTCAAACGGTGAGGGTGGCTGAGACCCTTGAGCGGATGACTCCGCTTGGCCCCAGAGGGTTGTGCCCGAGGGCGGGCTTGCAGTGTAGGCGGCGCCTGGCGAGTAGTTCGACCAGGCGTTCGCCTCAGCTGCCTCTGCCGATGCCTGGCCAGTCTGCCCTAAAAGGGCAGTGGCCTCGTTGGGCATATCGGCTGGGTCAGCCCAGGGATTTGGCTCGCCAGGACCAGCGGGTGACCCCGCAGTCGTGGCGTAGACACCTGCATGTGAGTGGTGCCCTGTGAAGATACCCGCTATGTTGCCAGGAGAGCGCTCGGCAACATGTCCGTAGTTCCTCATCCTGGTCAGCAGCCTGTCATAGTCTGCTTGTGTTCGGGGCATCTGATGATTAAAGGGCTCCAGCAGGTGTTGGGCTCGTGACGCGCCAACGCCTAACGCTCTGAAGAGAATCAGCGTTAGGATCTGAAAGTTGGGGATGACAAATCCAACAGAGTTAGCCTCGTCACGGGCCATCTCGAATCGAGCTAACACTGAGTCGATTCGCTCGCCCCTTTCGACGCGAAAGTCGATAAGGGCAGTGCCAGAGTTGAGCTGGCGCTCATCTTCCAGATTTTCAAATTTGGTGCTCAGTAAGTACAGTATATATGTTACTGCATCCGTTGGCTGTCCATTGACAGTTACACCATAATTGATGATCTGGGAGGGGACCTGCATGGCGATACGACGAGCAAGACCTTGAAGGCCTCGTTGTAGTGCTGCAGCTTGTTGTGGTGGCGTCATATTGCCGCTCGTTACGTTTATCCATGCATGTACTTCGCGAACGTATTCGCGAAAAGGCGTAGTACCGGCAGGGTCCCATGAAGGGCCAGTAGTACGCGTGTCGTCCATCCCCTGCCGCATGTATCCCACAGCACATCCCATTATTACCCACAGAATGCCGAAGATAGTTATCTTAATCCAGTGCATGTGCATTTCGGCTTCGGTGATTGGTTTAGGCTGTGGTTTGTCAGGCTCTGGCGTAGTAGCCGTGAGGCGCCTGACTGGCACGGGATGCAGGTGGCCCCGCTGCGGGTAGCCCCGCAGGGTGACCACGTTCTCGATCGAGTTGCCGATTGGCAGCTGGTGGAAGTCGAGAGTGAAGTAGCGCAGTGAAGTAGGAGAGAGCGTCTCGAGTTCGCGGGTTGCCCCGCTAGCTCGATCGCGGACTGGCTCCGCTCCTCGCAGAGCCGGCGCAACATGGTATTCCACCGTAGTAGTAGTCCACCAAGTTGTGCCGTGGATTACAGGAATCAGAGCGAGAGCCAGCCACACGAGAGTGTAGCCAGCTCCGCTACCAAGTCGAAAACAAGCTGGTAAGCTTAGGTATGTGTTACGCTTTAAGCGTTGCCATATCCCAGGCTTTGGCTCATATCGCATGAGCAAGAGAGCAAGACGAAGCATGGGATCTGGAGTAAAGGATAGGATGGGCATCGTCAATGGAAAAGGTATTTTCCGATCTCTGATGCAAGTCGTGCGCCTCGGTGAGGCACAATCACATATTAGGCCGGGCCCGGCTTGAGCCAGGCACGGCAGCGGTACATGC